TTCTTAGATTGGAAGGTGCTGGAAAGCAAAATATTAAGCCTGGTCTTATTTCTAAAAGCTGTATTTCAAGGGAAGGAAGGAAGCAAAGAAGGAAGGAAGGAAGATAAAGATAGATGGATGGATGGATGGATGGATGGATGGATGGATGGATGGATGGATGGATGGATGGATCGATGGTTGTAGGGCTTCTCTTCCCCTTTAGATTTTAATATGTATTAGTTACCTGTTCTAACTCTAGACCATTCTATTCACTCTTTTGAAAGAAGAAAGGAGTCAGGATGCTCTTTTAGTGAGGTCCTATCTGGTTATTTACAGGTAGTCCTCAACTTGCAACCATCACTGGAACCAGAATTTCCATTATTAAGCAAGGTGCTTGTTAGTGACACCCACTTCTATGATCTTTTTTTGCCTAGTGATTGTTAAATGAATCGCTACAGTTAAGAGAGGCACACATTCAGTAAGCAAATTCAGCTTCCTCCATTGACTTTGCTTGTTGGAAGCCGGCTGCAAAGATCTCAAACGATTATATGAGCCAAATGCATGGTGGTTGCCAAGTGCCTGGTTTTTTTATCACATAACCATGGGGCTGCTGCAACGGTTAAGCACGAGAACCAGACATAAGTTACTTTTTTCAACTTTGTAACATTTTTTGCGAGGGGTGCAACTGAGCAGTGGCTCAGTGGCTAAGATGCTGCGCTTGTTGATCAGAAAGGTCAGCAGTTCAGCGGTTCAAATTCCTAGCACTGCTTAATGGAGTGAGCTCCCGTTACTTGTCCCAGCTTCTGCCAACCTAGCAGTTTGAAAGCATGTAAAAAATGCAAGTAGAAAAATAGGGACAACCTTTGGTGGGAAGGTAACAGCATTCCGTGCGCCTTTGGTGTTTAGTCATGCGCCTTCAGCATTTAATCATGCTGGTCACATGACCATGGGATCCCTAGCGCCACATAACGGAATGAGCTCCCGTTACTTGTCCCAGCTTCTGCCAAACTAGCAGTTCGAAAGCACAAAAATGCAAGTAGAAAAAATAGGAACCATCTTTGTTGGGAAGGGAAGAGCGATCTGTGCACCTTTGGCATTGAGTCGTGCCGGCCACATGACCACGGAGGTGTGTTTGGAAAGCACTGGCTCTTCGGCTTTGAAATGGCGATGACCACTGCCCCCTAGAGTCAGGAACAACTAGCACTTATGTGCAAGGGGAACCTTTACTTTTCAGATCACTAAATGAATGGTTGTAAATTGAGAGCAACTTGTACAAGAATTAGCCCATAAACTACTTCAACGAAAACAAGAACTAATACTTCCTTTCATATATCACACAACAAATGCAAGTTTTGTTGAACTGTGATTTATCAAACAGGCAATAATGCCCTTCGGGTTGCTGGGTAGGACACCGATTTGAGCAACCTCTAAGTAGGAGACCTCTATCAATTTTATACATGAATGAAATATTTCTTTGGAATCATTCAGATGTCCCTCCTGGCTTTCTTATCCACCTCCCAGTGCAACCATTTTATCATCATCTGAACTATCTGATCAGGGTCTTGGATATAATGCAATTAGGATTATCATTTTAAGGGTATTCAGATGAAATTTAAAGCCAGCCTTGCACTAATTTGGCTGTCAAGGAATTGATTTTGATCCCTAGCACTCTTTCATTTTCAATAGAGTACTGCTCTAACCAGGTTAATTTCTGTTAAGCACATTAGTCAGGTTCTTCTATCTCCCCAATCAAATGATTATATGTCTCTGGGCTTTGAAAAATTAAAACTAGGGTTACCGCTAGATGGGAGCAAAAACTTGGAGGTTTCTAAATCTCTCTGCTGTTCTCTGATAGGCAATCAGATTTCTGCAATCTCAGCCATTCACCCTAATCTTAGCAGTATTGCACGAACCCCACAACACAAACCCCAACTAATGTACAGGTAGCCCTCGAGTTACAACCACAATTGAGACCCCTATTTCTGTTGCTAAGTAAGATAGTTGTTTTGCCCCATTTTACGACCTTTCTTACAACTACAGTTCTGCCACATGGTTCATAGCTTGATGCATTTGCATGAAGCTGTAAATCATGTCTTATCAATTATCATGGTTTAATTCATACTAAGTAGCTAAAATAAAATTCAAAACACTATCCTAAAGTGGTATCTCTCCATCTCAGCAACTTTGAGATGTGTGGATTTCAATTCCCAGAATTCCCCAACCAGCAATTTAAGTCCACACATTTTAATGCAAAGTATCTTAAAGTATTTAACCAATGCCTTAAATTTAACCAATGCCTTCAATCTTGGCAACTTAAAAGATGTGTGAATTCTGTTCCCAGAATTCCCCAGCCAACAGAAAATTCTGGGAGTGGAAGTCCAGATTGAAACTCCTAAGGTTGAAAAATACTGCATTAGACAACAACTAATGTTGTGGAAGGTATTTTAACTTGAACACAAGGAAGTCAGTGGCTGACTTCCAATACATGACAGGCATGTATTAAATAATTATTAATAATCATGTATTAAATAATAAATAATCAGGCTGATAGCAACCAGTAGAGGGCAGTAGAAAACAATCTACAATATTTTATTCCTCCATACAAGGAAATTTAACTTGGAGTCAATTTCTTCTTAATGAAAAAACAGCAAATTAGACAGAAATTGCCCACCTGGTTGGAAATACAATTTCCAGGTCATTTTTAGATCCTCAACAATGAAAATAGTTAATGTGTGAATGTTAATGTAGCAGGTTTAGCAGCTTATTTCTTATTAGCTTCAAAGCAGTGAACAAACTAGTCTGTGTTATGCTATTTGACCTCTTTTTTAATATATATTTTCAGAGTAAAGACAATCAGAATTGGCCTAAACAACTTAGGTGGGGAACACCCCTCTATCAGCTAACAATTTCATTTTTATTACAGTATTTGGTAATGTGATTTTGAAGTAATTTAAGATAATTTTTATGGAAAAGAAATGACAGATTTGAAAATTGAAAGTGAAATTTTATAAACATCCATATTTCTACATGAATGTAGAGTTTTTATCTTAATATTTTTTTTTAATGTAAGCTTTGGTGATTGTTCAAAGTTACAGTGTAGCAACCCCACCTGTGATCAAAATTCAAATGCTTGGGCAACTGGCATGTATTTACAATGTATTACATGCATTTATATGTACAATGTATTTATATAAAATGTATTTATAGTAACTGTATTTGTATACAATGTATTTATAGTGTCCTGTGGCCATGTGACTGCCTTTTGTGATGTTGCCTTTTGGTTCTGCCAAACAAAGTCAATGTGGGAAACTGGATTTACTTAACAAATATGTGATTGTCTTAAAAATTGCAAACAATGGTGCAAAAATCATCATATAATCAAGTGCTATTCACTTAGCAACTACTTTACTTAGCAATGAAAATTCTGATGCTAGTCATAAACTGAGGATTATCCGTACCCACATAATCTGTCTGGAGGGGAGGGGGTGAAAGATAATTATCCCCCAGCTCATTGCAACCTCTGCATTTAAGAAATGAACAGTTATTTAGTTTGGCATTTCCCTCAACCTAGCTTCTAATGAAAGTACACAGTTGCCCAAGCCTTTTACTCCAAGATGTGGATTAGCGTGGATTTGTAAAAGTGAAGTGGAGGAAAAGAAAAATACAATTTCTTTATGTATTTTCAGAGAGCGGTGATGGTGGTGTTTCCTTTCATTAGTTCACCAGATGAATATTTAGAACTATACTGCCATCGTATGACCAATATAGCTTAGTGCAAAGACAGGATGGATTTCTATGAATATTAAAATTTGAATAAAATAGGCCAAGGTTTTTGTCAATACAGCAATACAGTCAATACAATCTGCAGAACTGAGAGGTGTTGTTTTGATTTTCACTACTAGAACAATGAACACACTTGTGTTTCACAGGATTAAGTATAAAATCCTGCCTGGGAAAATAAAGAGGTATTTTAATAACTGCAGCTCAGGTAAAATGAATGTTTCTGGATTTTACTGTTTGGTTTTTAATCTACGTTTAACCAAAGAAGGGACGTGATGGCTCAGTGGCTAAGATGCTGAGCTTGTCAATCAGAAAGGTCGGAAGTTTGGCAGTTTGAATCCCTAGCGCCACATAACGGAATGAGCTCCCGTTACTTGTCCCAGCTTCTGCCAACCTAGCAGTTCGAAAGCACATAAAAAATGCAAGTAGAAAAATAGGAACCATCTTTGTTGGGAAGGTAACAGCAATCTGTGCACCCTTGGCGTTGAGTTGTGCCAGCCACATGACCACGGAGGGGTGTTTGGAAAGCACTGGCTCTTTGGCTTTGAAACGGAGATGAGCACCACCCCCTAGAGTCAGGAACGACTAGCACATATGTGCAAGGGGAACCTTTTACCTTTAAGCAAAGAGAAATATTGTTGACCTCTCTCATGAATAGTAAAGATATCAGTTAACCTTCTGAAAGAGAGAAATGATAAGTGGGTAGGAAAGGGGTATATGCTATGCATTCTACTAAACCATGATTTGCTTCCATACATAAACCACCTTGAGCTCCTGGAGGAAAGTGAGAAATAAATCTCCTATTGGGAATTCTTGTAATTGGAAGTCCACCTCTCTTCAACTTGCTGAGGTTGAGAAGCAGCTCCTTAAAGAAATTAGCAAATAAAGGAAGGGAGGCTTTTCTTTCTTCTGTCAGCCCTGTTTAGCTCTCATTAATGCGCAGCGGAAACCTGGAAAGTTTCCACTCGCTTCCAAGAGATAAATGTTGTTACCTCAACTTGTTTGTTTTCTGACAGAACTCCTTCCCTTTTATCATCTATGGAGGCTTGTAATTTCTCGCCTGGCCTCTTAAGCGCTACAGCTCAATTTCCCCCCACCCCACCCCCACACTATGGCAGCCGCTCGCGCACGCATCTCGATGGTTTCTCCAAACGTAGAGTCTCCTGCTGGAATGTCAACGATATTTGACAGAGGTCTGTTTTCATTCGCGTCCTCATGACATCACGAGGCGGAAGCCGGAAACAGGAAGTCCTCGATGTTTATGGCGAGACGACGAGAAGATGGCAACCGCTGTGGATACGGGAGCCTCTGCGGATGGGACGGTGAGAGATGAATGTGGTTAGAAGGGCTCGTTGTAGGGCAATCTGGCCACTATACCGCAACCGAAAGCTTCAGTCCAGCACCGCCCGAGGCGCCGTGTTGGGAAAGGTTGCTTGTATCCTGGGAAGTAAGAGATTTGCTTTGGCCGGAGTTGCTGCTTTGATGGGGAATGGGGAACCTGGGCTGGACTACAACTCCCAACATCCCCAGCGGCTTATCTGTGAGCTGCAATTCAGCAATGCCTAGAAGTCTACTTGATCTTGGTAGAAAAGATGGGAAGAATTAAGGGCGGGGAGGAGAATAAAAGAGAGAAAATCTCATTCTTTTTCGCATTGTTAATACTGTAGAGCAGGGATGTCCAAACTTGGGAACTTTAAGAATTCTGGGAGTTGAAGTCCACAAGTCTTAAAGTTCCCAAGTTTGGACACCCCTGCTGTAAGGGTGTATAGGTAGATCTGGAAGTGTTAAGTTTAGAATATTCTACAAATTATCAGTTTAGTTCCATTTCCCCTGTATTTAGGAATCAGTTGAGGAAAGCTTTTTAAATGTAGCCTTGCATGTTGAGATATTTTGCCCATTGATTTGTTGATTGGGACCCATCAAGTTGTTTTTGACTCCTAGCAACTGCATAGATTTTCTCCATGATTGGTTTGTAATCTGTTCTTTCAAGACTCCCAATGCATCATCATCACTGTAACTGAATCTATCCATCTTGCTGCTGGTTGTCCTCTTCCCCTTTCCCCTTTTTATATTGTTAACATTATATATTATATAGATATACTACACATTGTATACTATAATTATTAACATAACATGTTGATAGTGATTTACAAGGATAATTGGCTTTTCTTGGGTTTTTGATAAACCACTCCATCTTCCTTGATCCCTTTCTGTAATTTAATTGTAATGGGTAGAGAGAGTTTACTATGAAAGTTTTTATTTTCTCCTGGTACTGTATTGTTAAAGCTCAAGACAATAATTATATTTCAAAAGCATCTGTCTTGAACTTTTTGATCTGTTAGAGAATATAGAATTAGATATCAGATCCTGAGTGACAAAATTAGACACACCTTGATAAAGGTTTTAGACCAGTACAAATAAGGCAATAACAGCAGTGAAAATAATGATTGATCCTATATATCCAGAGGGACGCAGTGGCTCAGTGGCTAAGATGCTGAGCTTGTCGATCAGAAAGGTTGGCAGTTTGAATCCTGAGCGTTGTGTAATTTGTCCCAGCTTCTGCCAACCTAGCAGTTCGAAAGCATATAAAAATGCAAGTAGAAAAATAGGAACCACTTTGGTGGGAAAGTAATAGCGTTCTGTGTGCCTTTGGCTTTTAGTCATGCCGGCCACACAACCATGGAGAAATCTTCAGACAGCACTGGCTCTTCGGCTTTGAAACAGATATGAGCACCACCCCCTAGAGTCAGGAACAACTAGCACATATGTGAGAGGGGAATCTTTACCTTTACCCATATATCCACCAAGTCAGATCCCAAAAGTGTCAGGCTACATGCCAACTATGGGCTAAAATGCAAGAAGCAGTAGAACCAATCTATAACAAGTGGGCTCTGTCAATTAAAAGGAAATGTGGCTAAAATCATTATGGTAACAAAAGAGAGCAGGTATAACATCATGTATTTAACTAGTGCTTTATTTAGCTTGCAATCCTGATTGTGAAACTGCTTTTTATACATCGTGTATTGTATAACCATTTATCTCAACCCCAAATTATTATTTTTTTAAATACATGTGGGGGGATATTCCAGATGGCTTCCAACACTTCAGACAGTCCGATGACAGCTGAAGAAGCTGCTGCCCAAAAGAGAGAAGAACGCCTTCGAAAATTCCGAGAACTTCATTTGAAAAGGGTAAGGTTACTTTGTGACTTTTGGATTCAAATCCCAGAACAGTAAATCATCTGGGTTATACCCTTCTGAGACCTAATTAAATTATATAGCACAGTGTACAAGATTTATGGGGCAACAATTTAGCATGCAAGAGAGAAGGCTTGAAGAGGGGACAAGAAGTTGGTAGTTCAGGATATAAAATTTGTAATAGTTTTTTATTTTAATTCTGTTTGCTGCCTAGAGTCGCTTGTTGAGATAGGCAACTATATAAATGGGGTAAATAAGTACAACTCCCTAATTAGAGGCAATCTAAGGTCCTGGGAATCCCTAACCATAAATAAATGTTTTTATGTTACCAAGGCTGAGTGATGTTACAGGTAGTGCCTGGGTGAAGAGCTCCTAAATTCATCTGTAACTCAAATTCTTAAGTCAGAACTTGTACTTGCAAACCAACTGCCTACTACTAAAAAATGCCAGATGGCGTTATCCTTGCTGGAGCCAACAAATCACTGAAAGTCCACTTTTAGGAACCATTGAAAACAGGCTGTATATAAAAACATAACTTTAGCAATTCATCAGCTCAAGAAGGAGAACATCACTCACCATTTTCAGTAGTACACAGCCTTAAGGGTTGTCCTTAAATCACCACATTCTTCGTCTGGGTAATGCTTGTTGTATTAAGTTAAAATAAATGATAGTAAGAGCCAGAACAGTTACTATTATGCAGTAACAGCCCACCAATAAGCAGACTGATAAACCTCTGCTGCAGAATCTGTTTTTCTATTTTTATTTGCATTGCCATGAGAATTTAGCATTCACTAGTAGAGTATTTCTTATTATTGGTGAAGTTTGTAACTTTCTTCATTTTTTTGCTGCTTATCCCTGATTTGTTTCTATTTTCTAATTTATCAATTGCTGGTAAATGGGAGATGTTCTTATCTCATGTTTATTTTTAAAAGAATGAAGCCCGTAAGTTAAATCATCAGGAAGTTGTGGAAGAAGATAAAAGGCTGAAGTTACCAAGCAACTGGGAAGCAAAAAAGGCTCGCTTAGAATGGGAACTCAAAGTGGAAGAAAAGAAAAAGGTAAACAAGCAAATAATATGATGTGTACCTTTAAGACAATAAGAAAGCTTCAAAAAAGTCCCACAGTTACTGTTTTTTCACTGGGTTATATTAGAAATGAGCAATGATAGATACAATACTTGCACCATTACTGTAAAATACTGGCATCCAAATATAGCCCTTTTGCATTCGTGTGCAAAATAGGTGATGTACATTAATAACTCTCAAAGTAATTCTATGAAAAATAGATATTTTTATGTTTTAAATGGAAGGACGCAATGTAACTTCTGAAAGACCAAAATTCTGTTATTATTCTAAAAATGAGATTTTATAACCCTTCACCAAACAAGTAAAACCACAGTTCACATAATATTTTTTAGAATTTCTAATATAACATTAGGATGCATTTGTGATTTCAAGAAAACTGATACTTTTTTGTGCCATATGCTTGCATCATCCCACCCAGTGAGTATTTGGATTAGGCACGATTTAAACAAGGAATTTCATAATTCATTTCTTTTTTCAGGATGTTCTAGAACACTGTCAAAAGAGGTGGGAATTATTATGGGTATAGACCTATCAGAAAGAGAAATCAACAGCAGATCACGTATAATTCAACTGAAGACTAATTTTATAAGGAAATATAAAATATACATTTTAGCTCAGAGGAACATTTTTTGAGGAAATTATTAAAATGAGTTTACTGTATACTAGGAATGCTTGCTGAAAGGAGAAGATTATGAGAGAGTAAAGCTGCTAGAAGTAAGTGCAGAAGATGCAGAACGCTTTGAGAGGAAAAGGAAGAAGAGAAACCCTGATTCTGGATTTTCAGGTAGGGGGAAATGATCCTTACGGTTATCAAATAGATGTTGAATAAAAATAAAGTTTTACTCAGTGGCTCATATCAGGGGTTCTTCTGTAGGACTTGGCCCTGTGGGTCATAAGAATATTGGAAGGGGATCATAAAACATTTTCAGAATTGACCATGGTTACTCAGGCAAAGTGGGAACATTGTCAAAATTCCTGTTTGTCATGGCAAGTTCAAACAGAGCAAAAATCAGAGATACATGCAAAACAAAACAGGTTTATTTATTATTTATTATTCTTTATCTTTATGTAAATGAAGACTCAACTATCAAGGCCAAAATTATCTAAGGGGGTTAAAACATGGCAACTGGACCAAAATTTATTAAACAGAGATGTTTTGTTACTCATCCAAGTAGCGTATTTTGCGGATTATAAAACGCATTCCCCCCCCCCTTCCCAAAGTGGGTGGAAATGTCTGTGCGTCTTATAGAGCGAATATTGCAACAGGCGGGGGGGGCGGTGCAGCGCCAATCAGCTGTTCTAGGTGGGGGCAATTGGCGCTGCCTCTTATCGCTGCCACCCATTCGCAGCAATCGGTGGCAAATGGGCTGTGGCAAACAGAGCGTGGCGACGGCAAACAGGTGGCAGAGGCAGATTTTTTTTTCTTGTTTTCCTCCGCTAAAGTTAATGTGCATCTTATAGTCCAGAGCGTTTTATAGTCTGAAAAAATACAGTAACTTCTTCAATCAAAATGAAAATTCATTGGTTAGGCATAGTGTCAGAAAGTTGTGTGGAATATACCAACTCTGCCATACTGACTGCAAGGAGTTTCTTCCCAAAATGAAATGCAATATGTAAATGAGGAGCATTATTTACATATTGCATTTCATTTTGGGGAGAAATCCCGCTGCAGTCAGTCTGGAAGAGTTAGTACATTCTAAGGACTCTATGCCTAACCTATCCCAAAAAAAATTCATTTTGATTGTAGTACTTACTTGGATGTAACAAAACATCTCTGTTTAATAAACTTTGGTCCAATTTCCATGATTTAATCTTTTAAATATTCTTCATCTTTTTTCTGAGAACGGGGTTACACAAAATTATTTATCATTGCGGAGGGAATCACAATATTGCTGAAATAGGTTGCCCTATTTAATAAAAGTGTATTGTTCACTTAGCTAATTTCTTTGCTCTATAGACTATGCAGCTGCTCAGTTACGCCAGTATCAGCGGTTGACCAGGCAAATTAAACCTGACCTAGAAAAGTATGAAAAATTAAAAGAAGAAAGGCAAGTAATTTTGTTTCAGTTTTTTTATTATTATATGGTTGAAGGATCTAGAAGATTTACTGATGAGATCATTCCCAAACGCATATGAATACAGGTAATCCATGACTTATTTGATCATAAGCCATGATGATTATAAACCAGACTACCATGTGATTGTGCATATTGCATTGCAAATGCCACAATTGTTAAGCAAACCCATTGTTTGCTATATGGTGCTTTGTGCTGCAAATTAGAAATAATGGTTTCTGGCAAAAATATAAATTGTGGTCCCATGAATACAGGACAATGCAACCGTCCATAAATGCGGCTGGTTGCCCATAATGTGACCTGTGTGTGGTTGATGAATCTGGGTGTAAGTAGCTTTTCTGGACTACATTATAATTTTGAACAGTCACTAAATGACCAGTCCTAAGTCAAAGACTACCTCTAAATCATTTTGCACAGCTGGTATTAAAGTAGAGGGGCAATGTTCCATTTACCTGGCTCAATTTTGGTTAAATAAAATGAGAAAAGTGGGAAAGATTACAGATATGGAATTAAGAGTACAGACTCTTAATCGGTGCTACCATAACGGGTTAGATTGGTATTTTCTGTCCCAAATTCCTGAGCTGGAGAAATTTCACAAAAATGTTACTATTAACATTTTTTTTCTCCTTCAGTGGTGAAGATTTTTTTCCAACTTCAAATAGTTTACTCCATGGAACTCATGTGCCCTCCAAAGAAGGCGTTGACAAAATGGTTTCAGATCTTGGAAAACAGTAAGTGCCATATTCATAATGAATGCACGTTTAAATTTATTAAGCATCTTGCATATGTGCTTATAGACCTCTTGCTATCATAGACCACCTGTTTTATTTCAGATTGCATTATTTAAGTCCATCTCATTTTATTTCCTATTTATTTTTCAAATAATATAATTATCAGGCAAGGTTTTGCCCCTTTAAACTGATTCTGAGTAATCATATTAACTATAGAACCCAGTGATTGATCTGCTTTGGAGTGGATTAGTGAAATGGAGTTTATTCCTGTTGACCCCATTAGCTGAATATACAAAAAAAAATTATATTACTGTCTCAAGTGAAGAACATCCAGTACCTCATTAAAATATGAATTCAAGACATAGCTATATATGAACAAAGGCCAAGTATTTCTGGTTCTTTTTCAGAATTCAAAAACGTGAAAAATACAGCCGGAGACGTTCTTACAATGATGATGCAGATATTGACTACATCAATGAGCGAAATGCCAAGTTCAATAAAAAGGCTGAGAGGTTCTACGGGAAATACACTGCAGAAATTAAACAGAATTTGGAAAGAGGGACAGCTGTGTAGACTGAAAAGTTCAGGACCTGGCCTTGCTTTCTCAATTTGGCTTCTTTAAAACTTTCATGTATAAAATATGCTTTGCAAACATGCTTTAATGCTAGAATGAAATATATTGCAAATATCACAAATTGTTTTTATATGTACTTGCGGTTTATTTGAAAACTGTTTCTTAATTTTGGTAGTTTGATTAAACTAAGCCATGGCGTATATAGCTGCTTTCAAAACACTCTTGGTATGCTTTGTCTGCTTAATGAACATCTGGTTTATAATGCAATGGGAAGCCCAAAAAAATAATTAAACATAATTCAAATGGATGTGCAAAACATATCCAGTGTTGGCTTTTGTACACAAAAATAGTTAGAAAGCTCCCTAAATATTATTTGTATTAGAAACGTAATATTGTTCATACACGTAGTCCTCAACATACGACTGCTTGTTAAGGGATCTTCATAATGCCCCACTCCTCACACTTCCCAGCACCACCTGCTACCCTTACTAGCTAAACTGTTTCACAATGCCCACCCACAGCACTCTTCCATCCCCTCATGATCCTTACTTGGTACTCAACTCTTTCCACTTAATGACTCTTGCAATCCTTGGATTGCAGCAGCAATGCAATGCCGTGACCTTTTAATACAGATCCTCATTTGTGGTGACCCCCAACCATAACATTGCTGTCTCGGTTCCTAAGACCATCGAAAATAATGTTTTCCGATGGTCTTAGGCGACTCGTGAAAGGGTTGTTCGATCCCCAAAGGGGTCCCGACCCACAGGTTGAGAACCACTGCATTAATGTAATATCATGCTTTATGACTATGTCATTTAGTATTGACAATTCCAGTCAACTTACCATTATAACCTGAGGATACCTTTGTAATAAATTAAGTCTGTTTCATCAAAAGATGCCATAATCGGGTCAGTTTTATTATTCTGTTACATCAGGTGTTGGATGTGACCAAATGGTCAATTGTGCCTGTGTTAGTGGTGGCACACACTTTCCCCAACAATTGGTCTTCAGGGTTACCTTCCTCTTTTTAGGCCTTGAAGTTCTTAAACAAAACTCTCAAAAATCTGTAAAATGGCATAGAAGCTTTTCCTCCCTCCACAAGTTCTTGTGTTTTTGGGAATGAAGTGCTGCCTCAAAGTGCTTACTCCTTTTCTGCTTGTTGCCAGCTGAGCTCCCAAATTAGGCACCACCAGCATATGGTGTTTACTGTAGCTTCTTGTCCTGGCAATTGGGATAACCCTCTTGTCTGCCTGAAATTGCTGCTGCCTGTAATTATTGATACATTCCTGAAAATGCTGGGGTGTGGTTCAATGTGTTAGTCAGTGTGGATGCTAATAAGTAAACTGAGCAGGGGAATGAATGAGTCCATTTCCTCAAGTTTCTAGGGCTGTAGCGTATACTCAACTATCACTTATTCGTGGTAACATATATAATGACCGTACTGCCTTTGGAGTTGGTTCCAAAACTGAGGGTGGTACAGAAAATTGGCAACATCATTTAAGCAGATGAAACTAAATTTGTAGCTATGTCTTATTTTGGTACTTGCAAGGAAAAACAGGCACCTGGCAACTCCAGAAAATTGTTAACATTCATTTTGCCCCTTTAAACTCCCTGAAAACAGGTGGACTGATCTGGAAGTTTGAAGTGGTACTTCTGATACATTATACTTCTGCTCTAAAGTACCCATTTTACCTTTTAACACAAAAGCAGACAGAATAATTCCAACTCAATCTGTTCCATAGATGGCTAACATTCCAGGAAGTGCAGCAATAGCTTATGGGTAATCGGTCCCTGTACTCATATACTACTTGGATCTTTTATATTTCAGACAACAGAATCCAATCAAATATGTGTTTGCTAAAATAGCTATTTTCACGTCTTGTTCCTTTGAATAAAAACAGTACACTTCCACAGAATATTCAAAGTTTATTGAAATTCTTTACTATTACAGATTTTTATGAAAAGAAAATATGCAACTTTTATAAATTCATCCTTCACTAATTTTGAATGCCATTTTCTTGAATATCATTATAATGTCACAGTTCAAAATATTGGGTATAGCACAGTATTTACACAAGCTATGAAGTTAAGTAAAAACAATAGTACATTACATAGTACCTACATTTGCCCGGCCAGCCTTTTCTGCTTGAAGCATGACTTATTTAAATGTTTGTGCCAAGCTTATTCACAGCTAAATAAGAACTTTAGATTTCATATAAGAAATGTTTCTTACAAAAGTGCAAGACTAATTTATGCAGTGTTGATAACAGGCAAGGATTAAAATGCAAATACTAGAACTTCACTAATGCATCTTTTCTCGCCTTTGTTCTTATTGCAACAAGTATTCTTGTTAAAGCGAAACATTATCTACACAGGGAAAATGAACTACCAATAGGAGCCATAAATCACTCTTAAAAGTGCTTAAAATTGTAAAATGAAGAAACCTTAATTTGTTCTTATGTTACATATATTTCACACCAAAGTAAGATATTCCTGTTCATGACATAATCCATTTCAGTCAAAAAGCAAAATTTACAGAAAAAATCCTACCTGTATTCGTTGGGTCTGTTCCATTTTCTATCTGCAAAACACATTCTATGTGGTAAACCTACACATTCTATGAGGTAAACCTACATTTAAATCTCAAAAATGAGATATTTTGGATTTCATATTTTAGATGCTATTAACTAGAACAGAACTACTAGCATGCTCTGAAAGTTGTACTTTTAGGTAAAAAAAATTATGAAACAGGACATTTTCCTCTTCCTTAACAGGAATCCATTGGCCAACAGAGTCTTTTTCTTCTCTTCTTGGGATACTACCAGATTTTTAGAAAGCAGACTTGCTGATTTCAGGGCCAGCGGCCTGGGCATTTATATTCTGAAAAATAGAACATTAGAATAAGGATTTGTCAGTCATTATTGTCAGATTAAGTCACTCATTATTTGTTCAAACAAATAATACCTTTATCAGGTAGCATACTAAAATGGTGGAATTTTAGGATATTCCTACAGTATTCCTTTCATACCAATAAGTGTTATTGGTATTATATGATATTAAGAAGCAAGTGCGGACAAGTGGCTGCAATTTATGTCCATCTTTGCTATTTTCAGTACATTTAGCTCAGATTGATACCCATTCCTAAATTTTAGTTTGTCCTAAAATGGATTAATGGAAATGTCACCATTAAGAATTACATTTTGTTATTTCCTATTAAAGAATTGAGGAAATATTTTCAAATAGATAGTTCCTAACCTGTCTTTTAATACCTGAAACAGAACATGTATAGTATTTTAATACCACATAACGTTTTGATTCTTTATTTGTTCAATTTTATATAAATGTTTTCCAACAATTTCAGACTCATTTGAGCACCTCCCATGAGTCAGAACTAAAGCCCATAATTAATTGCCAATAGATTTTCTTCATCAGAACTGCAGACCATATTCATGATTTCCATAAGACAGAAATAAAGCATGTAAAATGTGTTGTGTTTGGATAATGGATTTCTGTAAACAATTTGTTCCATGACAGTTTGACAGGTACTACTGTATATTTTGTTTAAAGTTTAAAATCCATTTGATATAGGTTAACAAGAAAAAAAAGGAAGGATTTTTTTTAAAATCCATTTTATTAATAGGATTCTTATTTTTTTAAAAATCAGAAGTTGGATGATTTCAAGATTACATAGTAGTTAAGATTTGGTAACCAGAATTTGTTAACAAATTTCACAATTCAGTTTTCAAAAAGTTTATTTTCCAACTATGAAATAATGCAAGGTTTTTTCAAGGGACTCTTACAAAAGAGTTTCATTATTTGAAAATTTATTTTATATTTACCTTAAAATCAAAGTTCTCTTTTGGCTTTCCATTTTCACTGGTTTTGGAATCCATTTTTAAACTGGCTGGTAGGATGATTTCTTTCCCGAAGTTTTTAGCTGCATTAGTTTTTGCTATTTCAAGTAGTTCTGTTTTCTATGGAAAGAATGAATGTTTAAAATACATAAATTTCTCATTCAGAGAGAAGTTTTACCCCTGCCCCCATATTTACTAAAAGGCACTAACATTCCCTCATCAGCTTTAATTTAGCACTGTTCTTTCTTTCATAAATACAATGTTGACTTTCAAAACCAGTCAATAATTCAACAATTGCATTGTAATTTGAAGGCAGATCTGAGATATCTAACATCATTCACTCAATTACAAGAGATCTGATGTATTTATTCCTTTTTCCAAGATTTGCCATTATTTATAATAAACATTCTAAGATGCTTAACATTGCCATTTTCATATCTGGACAAAGAATTTTCCAAATAATTTTGAAATATTCTTGACAACCCAATATTCCCTCCTACCCCCCAAAAAAATACCTTTTTCTGTCAAGCGAAGAGGGGTTCTATTGTGAGATCTTGTTCAGGAGGAGTTTCTTCACCTTCTATAAGCTTCAGGACAAACGGTTATTCCAAACCGTATCCTTGGCTTCTTGATCTACTTCTGGAGTAAGACCTGTGATAGTATGATCTAATAGGAGGTCTGCTCCATGATTTATATATTGGACATGAGTGAGGATGTCTTCTGTAATATCTAAGATGGGATCTTTCCCGATATCTGTAATCGTGTGGTCGTAAGTAACTCCTGGAATAAGATCTTGAGTATCCTCTGGATCTACGAGAACAAATCCTTTTAGCATGTCCTCTTGATCTGCTCCTCGATCTACTTGTGCTTGTGGAGTAAGATGAAATACTTGAAGTAGAACTGTAAGATGAATCACTAGAAGATACAGAGGAAGATCGCCTGCTACAGCTGCTCCTTGAACATGATTGAGATCTCCCTTTAGATGAGCTCAGAGTCAAGTTATCCAGGAATCCTGTCATTTCATCTGTCTTCTTGCTCACTTTCTGCTTTTCAGAAATTTTAGAACATGTTCCTTCTGCTGTCCAGTCCCAATTACTTTAGATTAAAAAAATTGTTTTAGAAAATCTCAACACCATAAACTTACATTTCTTATACTACTTATGTCTTTCTGAACTGTCTTATTTCATATTCCATTTTATAACCATGATTAGAACTATTTTCCAAATTTATTCAAATCCTAGCAATAATCAAGAGACAAGCCTAAACAATTTACTCAAAAACCTGTTTCACTAATACCAATACAAAACAACAGGATTAGAATTATTGTCTATCTGCACTTAGTGAAAATGCAGCTGTTACCAACACACAGCATTGCTATGGAGTCCATTCTGCTATAAATACAAATCTAAATCTTTCCTTCTATACATCTGCTTTTTCCTTATTTTCACTTTCATCATTTTTAATAAATTTGCTGCATATTTAGAAAGATTGTACTCTATTTTACTCTATCTCAGAATTTCATACAACTACAAATATCCTAGTTATAAAGCATTAACAACATAAACCAATTCATTGTTGAAAAGAAATTACCATTAAGTGCCACAGAAATCTCTTTCTTCTTGCAACTTCCATTGATTTGGTGAGGACTCCTGTAAGAGTTTTAAGATTCTCATTCAAATTTATAACTAAATCAGTATCTTCCTAATGCAAAAACATCAGTATTTTTCCTAGTAACATGACACTGAGACTTATTTCATAGTACTGTAGTTTGCAATGAAATGCACTGTAAAATTGCACTGACATTAGCGTAAGCATTCAAGCACACCATAAACACTACATGGAGGTGGGGTGGGGGGTGGGGGGTGAGAAATTAATTGTGTTCAGCAATTGATCTATCATCCACCTGCAATATTTCAATTTCAATTTTAATGGATTTGTATGCCGCCCAATCCCGAAGGACTCTGGGCGGCTTACATAAAAACAGTTTAAAAGATATTTAAAAAGTTTTTAAATACAAAAACAAAGCGAATTAAAAAAGACACAACATGCACTCGATCTTAATGGGGCTGAAGCTCAATCAAAGATCAGCAGCCCCAGGCCGGAAGAGCCAGGTCTTAACAGACTTTCGGAAGTCCGAGAGAGTGGGGAGGGTCCAGATCTCAGGGAGTAAATTGTTCCATAGGGCCAGGGCAGCTACAGAGAAGGCTCTCCCCCAAGGAGCCGCCAGACGACATGACATTGTGTAGTCGACGGCACCCGGAGAAGGCCCACTCTGTGAGATCTTATTGGGCGCTGGGAGGTATGTTGCAGGAGGCGGTCACGGAGATATCCTGGTCCTAGGCCATGTAGGGCTTTAAAGGTGATAACCAACATCTTGAAGCTGTTCAGAGACCAATAGGGAGCCAGTGCAGCTCACGGAGGATAGGTGTAATATGGGTGTATCTAGGTACACCCAGTATCGCTCGTGCAGCTGCATTCTGGACCAATTGTAGTCTCCGAACACTTTTCAAGGGCAGCCCCATGTAGAGCACATTACAGTAGTCGAGCCTTGAGGTGACAAGGGGCTGAGTGACCATTTGGAGTGCCTCCCGGTCCAGATAGGGATGCAACTGGTGCACCAGGCGAACCTGGGCAAAAGATCCCCTGGTCACAGCTGACGGATGGTGTTCTAGAGTCAGCTGCGAATCCAGGAGAACACCCAAGTTGCGAGCACTCTCTGAGGGGTGTAAGATTTCACCCCCCAGATTTAAAGGTGGAATATCTGGACTATCTTTGGGGGGCAGCATCCAAAGCCACTCAGTCTTGTCAGGGTTGA